GTTTCCCTTTGAATATTCTTTAAATTTTATAAATACCTTTGAGTATTTCGAAAGCCCCATCAAAACGGTAACAATATATAATATTCAGTTTGTGTTCAAACAAGTCAATATCAATATGTACGCATGTATACGATAGACTTCACCAGGATGATCCTGAAAAGTTCAGGCCACGTGATATTATAGATCTTCTGATCCATCAGTTCTGATCCATCAGGATGACAATTATCGACTATGGAATATTCATACAAGTCTTATTATGCCAATGAAAGAAAGAATAATGAGATTTTGCTGGGTTTGTTTAGAGTTTACATTGCTCTGAATATTTTGCGTTGGTGGAGAATCTGCTGGATTTATTCAAGCAATTATTTCAGTCATGTCAGAGCTTATACCGTCCCAAATATTTCGTGTTGGTGGAAATGTTCATTCAGTTTGAGTATTAAACTAAGTTTGCGAGATGATGAAAGAAAGAATACGACAAATCTGCTAGGTTTATTCAAGCAATTATTTCAGTCACGTCAAAGCTTATACCGTTCTGAATATTTTGTGTTGGTGGAGAGGCTCCTTCAGCTTGAGCATTAAACTAAGTTTGCGAGGTAATGAAAGAATGTGACGAGAATCTGCTGGGTTTATTCAAGTAATTATTTCAGTCGCGTCAAAGCTTATACTGTCCTGAATCATTCAGTGTTGGTGGAGAGATTCATTCAGCTTGAGTATTAAACTAAGTTTGCGAGGTGATAAAAGAAAGAATGTGACAAATCTGCTGGATTTATTTAAGCAATTATTCAGTTTGGATATGAAGGCGAATTATTTGAGATTAATTATTAATGTCTTATTGTTATTTAATATATTATTTTTTTTACAAGAAATAATGATATTGAAGAAAAAATAGAACTATAGATAAGTACAATAATGAATAAACAAATTTACATGTTTTTTTGACTCTCATATTTTCTGAAATCTTGTAGTATGTCATTATCTTCAATTGCTACAATATCCGCATCATCAGTTGATATACTTTTTGTCAAACTTGGCTTATCTCTATGATCATTCAATTCATCTGAACATGACAAAAACATCAAGTATGGTTTCCTATTTGCCAGTGCCCAAGTCACCCGCTGATGTTTTTGCCATTCTACTGTCTCGATTTCCTTTTCCATTGGTATCAGTCTGCTCCATTCTATCATTGCGCGAACATGATGTCAGCTATTAGTTGACTTTTCAGTATGGATCCGCTTGATTGGTTCGAACAATGATCAATTTGACTTGACATAAGCACGGGCCTCCTCTTCTGAATTTTCATCAATGTTAACATCATTATCATTGAGTGTATTATTGACTATATTATATGAATCAACAATTTGGATTTTCTCAAGCATGATAAGTATAACAGGTGAGACATTAGTCATAATTTCTTCACTTTCAAGATCCTTCAGAACAAGAAATGGTAGAGTGATGCAGCATTCAAAGTTATATTGCAATAATCTTCATCGTTCACCATTGGACATAATAAAGACTTGCTGAACTAGATGCTTGCATAGGAAGAAGTGACTTCCAAGAAAGGTAGGACAGCTGTAGATCCAACATGTAATATTAGTGAAATATAAATTGTTCAAATTTGTTATTTTCATATTGGTGCTTTGCTTCCTTTTGCCCTTGACATGCTCATCGACTCGCTGATCATTACTTGCATCCACAGTGATTCATGCTTTCTTGAAATCATCCCACCATCATGATACCATCATGCCAGTTAGAATCTGAGATAATCGCTCTTTTTGTGCTGGCATTACCTCATTGAAGAGTGTTCAAAGCAGCAAATCGAGTCTAGGATAATTAAAACGATGTAAATAACACCGTTTAATGACACTTCAGTGGGCTTCGATCTTCATCGTTGTTTTTCCAAAAGGTATAGTGGATCTTACTGATCGTATTCACAGGTGCCACCTCTCTGATGAATACCAATTGGTCCAGAGATAGACCCAAAGTAATCACAATGAGTTTTCAGTGCAGAATTGATATATCTCTTTTACTGCGCTTCGTCTAATATCTGTCAGTGTCATGGTATTTCTCTGAGCATCGATGGGTATTAACAGATGTATATCAAAATGTTTTTGCATAAGCTTTAAGATAAACTCTCAATATGCTGGTAGACAGATAACGTATGTTCTTGAATTATGGTCATCGTCTGTTGGGTAAAAGACGGGATCAACAAAATCAAACTCATTGGTTACCTAATTGATATTATAAATTACAGTACATAGTTGTGTCTCATGTTCTGTATTGTTTGATGGCTTGACTTTCTCTTGGAGTTTAAGTTTTAGAATCTGATTCATATGCCAAGCACATAATTGAACTACCAAAGGCCCCCACATCTTGGTCACGGCATTGATTTCTGCGAAATCTTTGTCAGTAAACACAAATTCTGGATTAATATTATTCATCTTCATCATTTTCAAAAACTCTCCAAGACTTTACGACATCTGTCCGTATTAGTACTCGTGTTTATCACCTTAGTTGTATCAAGTATAAGATAGGCAATTGGAAAGCCAGTACCTTTAACATCTGCTATAATACCATACAGTTCATAGCATCCTCGTGCAGTCTTATAAGTGACATCCATGTATATCTCAGTAATATTAATGCCATAATTTTGGATTTTATCTAGCAATGGAGTGGTAAAACCAATAGCTGTGGTCTTTGAATATCTTATATCTAAACACCAATGGAAGACATGACTGTTGTGTTCAGTGAGCAACTTGCACGCAGATTCAATATGGTCATCATAACATTGGAATAGCTTTTGGTTTGTTATAGACTTCCAGAAGTAAATATGCTTGGGTGAGTATTTTGATATATTGTATCTTTGACGTCGAAGGTGATTTTTTAAGTCCACTACAGTAAGATGCGAGTGTGTTTTGATCTCTTCCCATAGTTCGTTAGGCATCTCAATGCAAAGGTTTGGATGCGGATGGAAAGATTCATGATAGATATCCACCCTTGTAATATTAAGAATCATATTGACTCGTACTATAATTTTACCTCTACAATCATAACGCATTCTTCATTTGCGATTGGAATTTTTATATTCTTCACTCTGTGTCTCTTTCAATTGATAATATATGTAAAGGAAATGACCAACTGCATTTCCGAATTTTCTTGATATGTCCGCATTTTGAAAATTCCAATAATTATATATACTGAGTTAGCAATAATCTAACAAATTTCACAATGCGATGTTACTTACTTCCATGAATAGTCATCTCTGTCTTCAACTTCAGTAATGATAAGATCAGCCATCTCCTTTATCATCTTGTTCTGAGTAATAGCAATGTCTAAATGTACTAGCAAATGAGTCTTATAAGATACATCAGCTATTCCATCAATAGATTTACCAACTGTCAGCTCTCAGATCTCATGCTCGATTAAGTTCCCCACGTCAAGATAATCAACTTCGATCCGTGAAGCATCACTGATATGCTCTATCTTCGAGTTCGAGTGTTCTGTTGCAGCTACAGTGTGAATAATATCATTGACGTTATTTTCTTCCTTATTAGACTCTTTCAACATTTCCTCCATGATTCTAGCTGGTGGCATGCGCTCTTTATTCTTTCAGTCACGGATTTCTTTACACCTCTTGCATGTCTTGTAATGTAGGTCATCCCAAATGAATTGGTCATCAGAGCGATTGCATTTGCATTTAGTGCAGAATATCATTATTAACAGATCTATTTGTGGTATGGGGATTTAGGTATCGAACAGATCTGTGTAGAGTTACGCACTGTAACGCATCTCAGATCACGTGGTGATACTAATTTGGAAATAAGATTACACGTAAGACATTATTAAGTACTTGAGTTATCTTTATTAACCTTGATCAAACTTACTAATCTATGTCACATTTTATCTAATAAATTAAGATGAGGGTTTTTCATGATATTTAGCTAATTGAGATTCTAAATTTTATATTTTAGTTTATATATAGTAGCTCACTAAAGAAACAGAACACGAAAAAAATAGTGAGATTTAGTGGTATAATTATAATTTATACAGATTATAATTATACCACTTAATTCGGACTATAATCATCCCCATTGATGATTGGATCACATGTGTGTCATCATTCGAGTGACAATTGGTTTATGAGTTCATCATCACACTTAGGTATTCATGATCTGTAAAAAATATGATGACAAATTTGTGTTCACATCATCACACTTAGGTACTGTTACAAGTTTGTTCACTAATCGTTAAATTAGCTTACAAACGAGAACCTGGGTTGGGAGAGGGTATAAACTGATA